CTGAAATATTGCGGGCTATGACTAAACCAATGGTCAGTATTAGTCAATACAGGTATGAACGAATTGCTCTTCTCGGTGGTATCCTTTTTAATTATGGACATAACATCACTAATGTTCCTTATCACTGGGTCAGGGATGTCTCCAAACGTCAGTGGCATCGATGCCAAGACTTATATGCCACATTATCCTTACAAGTCATAAGAATTATTGAAATATATAGAACAGTAAATAACTCTATGATCCATTTCGAGCATAACTTATTTTCATTGCTCCTTATTTCTTCTGGGTTGCGGGGCAGCATATTTAGAAAGTTTTCGAATGATCCGATCTCTGCCAAGAGAACATTGTTTCGCAGTCTGATTTTCAAGGTGCATCGTCGTTGTGCATACAATATGCCTAAGTCACACAACCTTCTTTCTCTCCCTGGTCCGCCTGTCATGTAAGTTTCAGAAAAACGTTCATCCTGTGCCTCTCTCCTTTCGTATGCTGATCAAGTTACCAAACAATCTCTACTGCGGTTTCTTTATTCGGCAAAGAAGTAACTCACAAAAACTGGATCACATATTGTGCCACTTTGAATCTCGTCGAGCACCGCTTTACCACAAATTCTTAGAAAGCACCTTATTTCTGCCGCTTGTGTCGGGATCGGACTCGTTCGGCCAATCTACTGCAATCATAACCGTAAGTGAGAGTTGGTGTGAAGATAATTTTGAAAGCCGATGGCTGCGCACTATATCAAGCTCTTAGTGATTTTAAGAAATTACCTTTTACTTTCGTTTTTGCAAGATCTACTCCTATTTTATTATTTAAATATTTAAGCAATTTATGCACTGTTTATCAATTACGTGTATTTAAAATTGACATCTGAACACGTTTACCTTCCAGTTCTAGTAAAATTTTTGTTCGCGTATGATTTTGATGTTATTGATTGTTTCTACATGTGTATGTGTTGGTTTGTTTTTGTTATCGACTCTGTTGCAGGAATCTGAATCGACATCTCCTAAGCAGTCGCGAAAATCCGGAGCGCTGCATTCTCTGAAATCAACAGCAGCGTCCGGTTCTAATAATATAGGAAACGTACGTACGGACGCTTGCTTCGTAGCGCTAGTTAGTCTAGACCCTTGAAATCATTAGGGTTTGTCGCTACGCTGCATGAAGGCTATGATTTAGAAATAACGATCAACAGAATGTCTCTTGTTGGGCAGAGTCTGAAGTTATTCGTTCCCGTCTTGAACGTCTCTATGCCTTACACTAAAGTTCAAGTTGCAGTGTAGGAAAATGAATGTTTAAAGTTCGAATAATATCGGCTAAGAATTCTGCCAGACTGAAATTTTAAAATATAACATTAAATGACAAATCAACAATAGTAAAATTTACAAGCAAATAGAATTGTGTATTGCAACAAATTATTAATGTACCAGCTATTCGACCATGATCATAAAAAATACAAGAACCTGAGAAACGCCAAGGTTCAAATCATACCCAAAATTGCAGGATCGCAGGCCTGATCTGGCAACAAAACTGAAAACTAAAGTATCAAGAATCAGTGGTTCAGAGAATTTCAGAAAATAGCAGTCAACCAGTTACGGGATCAAGTGAAAAATTTCATTCTGCACCAGACTTTGGACCGATTACGACCTCTTGGGTTTGAGGGATTACTTTTCATCAAAGTATTTTCATGAGACTTCGGCGGTAATTTGCGCCTTACAATTCAGAACAGCAGTCACCTTAGCAGCCACAGCTTATTCATCAGGTTTCTTACACATTTAGCGGTTTGTTTACCTCTTTGAGGACTGTTCCGCAATCCACAATCGGTGGAACGTGTTTGGCGGCAGTGGATCTTACCTC